GCTACTTTCGTCATCGACTCGGAGTCGTTTCAGTCCTTGTTTATTTTAAACGACCCCCCTGTTTATTGTAGGTGGGGAGTTGAGGCAAGACGCTAAAGCATCCTTTTACCGCCCTCACTGGGGCTAAGGTGTCTCGTTGCTGTTGTTCCGGTATAGTTCACGACGTTTACGGAGATAACGACCCCGCGTTGATTTCAGCGTTGACCTTGAATTGTTGGGAAGAAAAAACTGTCCCCCCATATCTTTAAGAGTTTAGACAAGTAACTGCTCACTAGCACACCCTCCCGGTAGCGCCAAACATACGATAGCATACTTTACTGGTATCAACTTTGCAGTCTCCATAATACAGTTTTTTTTGGGTTAGATCGCGTAAATGTGTCGTTAAAACTGCCACCACCCGACACAGCTAACTTGTAAGGTTTGTCACGTAAACAGAACGTAGCCAATTCGTTACTAGTACAGCACACTGGTGTGTTGGAGAGCAAAGCCACAACATTTACACTCTCAGTACGACGTTTCGCCGGTAATTACAACTAGCTTCATCAGGCGACAGCCAGATTTGTTGTAGTCTCCATTACATCCGACCTCGCAACAGATGCTACCACTCACGCACTTTGTATCTTGGCAAAACAAACAAGAACTAAACAATTCTCGAATTCAAACACTAGCAATAGATGCTGCTCATACAGTTTGGATGTTTGTTCTGTTCACACGTCATGCTGAATGAGCACACCAAGTCATTAGTCTGCTGCAAGCCGATTGCGAAGGTGCCCAATCGATGTGAAGGGTTATGGCAGTGAGCAAAGGTCGACAGCAGAGGGCAGTGCAGAAAAAGTCCACGGCGTATTGCACGGTCACATTGTACCATCTTTACATGCGTCCACGTCCATGTGCCCAGCCTTCAAACACACTGCACTTACCGTCGTGGTGAAGTATGGTCAAACAAGCCTCACAATCCGCACGGTGGTGGGGAAACGCTCGTTCAGCTGTGGACTGGCCCTTATAAACCGTGACAACAGGCAAGTTAAATTTCGATTTAAAGCTTTCGTGACTGCAGAGATTCATCTTCTTGGTTCTTTCGGTAAAGTCACGTAGAAGGGAAATAATAAAATAATAACAATAAAACATAAAACAATTCTCACGACGTTTCGGCCACAACGCAAGCAGCCGTCCTCAGGTGAAGAACAGGTCTGTCGGGAAGACAGCGTTCGCGGCAGTCAAAACAATGGGGAAAGTTTCGTCAAATTCCTCTGCCTGTGTCCCCCGTGCAGGAGGCTAAACCTCCACCTCTTCCGAGACGTCCGATCGACCGGCGTGGCGGAGTCGACCAGCAGCCCCGAGTGACTCTGCAGGCCGAGTGATCTGCAGGGCTGCATTGTTATTATCACTTGACGACCGCACCCGATGATTGTTAAACATCCCACCCTGAAAGTGATTCATTTGAATCGGAGCTCTGCACACCTCGTGGGACACACACGTACACACAAGCACACACGCGCACACACACACGCACACACACGCACGCATGCACACACAACCACCATTCGCCACTAAGTGGCGGTGACGTCACCACGACGCTTGTGCCAGGCCATGTGCACCTTGAGGCCACGTGAAGTGTCGAACGCCCGCTGGCAGGAGGTCACGGGGCAGACCCAGGTGCCACGGGTCGAGGGTGTCACTGAATTCTAATTTATTAAGTATTATTTAGTTTTGCGGTGAACTATGACCCTTGTCTTCGAGAAAGGCGCCTTGTCTGTAAACATCTGACATTTTAACAATATTCTTTTTTTCAAGCAAATCTGCCTCTTAATGAGACACTGAATATCTAAATCAGTCCAAAACCAATGCTGTGGATAATATGCACTTTAAATATATTTTGGACATCAATGAGAATCACCCATTTTTTATTGTTATCAATTCAGACACACGATGGCACGTGTTGAGAACGGAGTGCACACCACTGGAATCGGCATCGGAGTGGCAGAGTGCAGTTTGAAGGGCGTTTATTGACTCTGACAATCTGGCAGAAGGAAGTTGTGATTGCAAGCGTCTGTGGCATCAACAGCATCGACTGGTATGACCCCTTGACATTTCTTGATGGAGCCGATGTACACGTGCAGCACATTTGTCAATCCGCCGCTGCACGAGGGCCTCCCCATGCCGCACAGGGCGTGGGTTGTTTTGTCCACACTTCACCACGCTGGTCAGTGCAGGTTGGAGGTAGTGGGAGTACAGAACAATGATGAATTTTGCAACACTGCTCTCTGCTACCCACAACGCATTTGGCGGCTGTCTTTGTGCATGCTGATCACCCATTCAAGCACTTTGCTCATAGGGTTACGGGTGGTAGTTTTGCAATCGACTTTAATAACACTCTCCGGCACAATGCAGTGTTGTGCTCTGCATATATTTTTGCACAGGTAAAAATAAACTGTAAAAGACGAATCCCCAATTCCCAAGTGTTGCTCATCACGTGGTTTTCTAACTTAATTAATCCGAATTATTACTTCGGGCATTCCACTTGAGACCTTTCCAAGGTACCTCGAGGGAGGGGGTAGAAATAGTTAGCTGCAATTTCGCATGTAAATGACTATATACTACACCCGCTGATTTAACACTTCGCCCACCTGATTCCCTCCACAGCCGTTATTTCACCACGTGACTATCCTGTTGAATTTAATGGGCGGCATTTAGCCGAAAATATGGCTCCATAGTGAGCTATTGCACGACTGTCAACTCCGATGAATTTATGCGACTGAAACTTTCCTTGAATTTTGTACCGATAACAAAAAGTATATTCCACGCCACTGCAATGTAAATTTGCACTGTTACACATCCTGCTTCGTAATCTAAATTGCAGCACAATTTATGCATGTGCACATTTGTTTTCTTTCTTAAATCAGGGCTGGGAACGTCTAGTTATTATTGTTGGAATGTCAACAAGACTCAGGTGAGCAGTAAGCATCAAGCAGGGATTCATATAGTATAATCATATCTTAATTGTACCCAATTTCCATATAGGCTGCTAACTTAAAGACTAATATTATCTCAGCCAGTATTCCCAACATACGTTCCAAGTGGAAAATGCGGTCGGTGATTGCAATTTTACGATAAAATTACCGCACTGCCTGCGTCAAACCGGAGCACATTATTTGCCCAATGTCGTCAATATTACACTCGATAACCTTGTAAAAATTACTGGTCACCTATGCAGCTTTTAAATACATTTCCCAACCATTCCATCTGTTGTGCATGTATACAAAGCATACTGTACGCATGCAAATGTAACTCTTGACAACTTTCCACAAACACCAGCTAGAATCATCCACATGCAAATTTCACACTCCAAATACACAAATGCCCGCTTAGATAAAGAAACCTTTGGGTGGGCAGTGGTGTCACTCGCCTGTAATTCAGTACTGTGGAGGCAACGATGGTTGGTGTAATCGCACAACTGTTGTGAAACTCCCTTCCCGTGGGCGCTGAGATGCCATACGGACTCGCCAGAAGGCAGTACAGCAAGTAGACCAATCGCCATCGGTTTCCATCTGTATGGGGTAAAGTGTTGCCCCCTCACATGTGGGGTTCTCCCACTTGAACACGCAATCTTTCGCGACCAATATCATCCATAAGAGGTTTTTGGGTTAGATAGCATAAATATGTCGTTAAAACCCGCCACCACCAGTCAACTAGTAAGGGTTGTCACGTGAACAGAACATGCCAATTCGTCACTAGTACAGCAACACCGGTGTGTTGGAGAGCCAAGCCACAACATTTACAATCGGAGTATGTTTTGCCAGTAATTACAACTAACTTCATCACTTAACTGAAAACATCTTTAAAAAAATAAAACCCAACGCAGGACCCTCCTGCAAGTCATACAACTCGGTGTGGCTCTCTGAAAGCGAAGTAAAAACAAAAGTAAAAGACGAGCAGATTATTTGCTTACGAATGGCAACATACGGGAGCTAAATTCCAATGCCGAGCTCTGCAGCTCACGAGCAGGCTTCGGGAGTTTGTGTAGTTCTACCATTCCCCCGTTGAAGGGGCGCAGTTTGGCTGTTTCACTACATGGTGTGTCGTTTGCGTGATATGGCCACAACCGCCCTGACTTCTGCTCATCGAGTTGTGCACATCGGCCCATTGATGTTCTGATGCGGTTCATGGTTACACCAGTGTCTTCGCGGAATGTAACAGCGAGGAGATACGTTGGTCTCCAATTGGGCGTTCATTCTGGACGTCCACGTTATTGTTTGTTATTCCAGTTCGCCAGCATTCTTCCGGATTTGGACGAAATTTCAAGATCGTGAGAGCACACACCCAGAAGGGGGATTGGGACACGAGTCGCCCACGAGGTACAGTGTTGAGGTCTTGGTTGATGATGGGTACGTGGTTGTCGTGGGCAAGCAAACGTGTAAACTCCCTTGCCGTTTGAAGGTCTCGGTCGATATTTGGTGGTGGAACATTCACCAAAAAAGGGAACCGGGAGGGGGGGTGGGTTGGTGTCCATTTCAGTTTCTGGTTATGTTGCAAACTGTATTCAATTGCGCATCTAGCAGTTGCTTATGAGCAAGCAGCATGTCTTGTCCCAGTTTCTCCAGACTGCTGTTAAACTAGGTAATTATATTTTATACTCTTTGGTTTTTTCGGTAAAGTCACGTAGGTAAAAAATTAAATAAATGAAAAGCAAATTAAATCACGTTTCGGGCGCAACACGCTCGTGTTTTTTACCTACGTGACTTTACCGAAAAAAACAGAGTATGAATCCTTGCAGTCACGAAAGCTTCAAATCTAGAATTATATTTAAGCCCGAAATAATGCGTGGGAACATGCAGTATATATGGACAGTTACGAATAACCTCTAAATTTAAGGTACAAACAAAACGTACTGTGTATGTAGAACTTCTTTTGCACTGTACGTAGCGAACAGTACTGTACTGTGGTTGTCCAAAGTACGGTGCCAATACTTCCATTGGGTTCATAGCACACGCACAACAGTGGAAAGTATTTAACCTTTATTAGGGTGCACATACAAAGCGCAACTGTCAGCAACAGTTCAATGCATCTGCAAGATTGTTACACCATTTGAGATGTAAAACTCAAGTCATAATAGTAAATGAAAAAGGTCTTCAGAAATATGCTTTGAAAGTTTAAGTGAAAGGAATGTATTGAAAACAGACGTGCAGTAAATATGGAATGTCTGAATGTGTGCACTATTTTGGTGAATTTAACTTTTTAAAGTTAAATAAAGACATGCAGTAATATACGCTGTGTGTAATGTACGTGTCGTCATAAATGGTTATGGTGATACAAAAGTGTATTTTGATGTTCTGTCCATCTGGAATCTTCAACCATTCAGGATGTGCCTGACAAACTCTGTTGAAAGAAAAAAAACGTTAAGAAGCATGAGTCCTAAAAATATCATTCATCTGTCGAATACAAAACAATTATAAGACACGCTCCAGCTTACTTTCACCATGACATGATATGTATTGACAATTAATAACTTGAATAATAACATGAGATAGCAACTTCATGAACCAAGTTATTTTGGTGCATTGTGATTATAGATTTTAAGTTGAATTAATACCTTGCAAGGAAACTTAAAAAAATATAAGTAAAGCACAGCGTTCACTAAATAAATGGTTGTAATTTATGGAAATGTGTCAGTCATATAGCACTACAGGGTTCACACACTGTTATTCAAGACAACACATTCAGTTATTACTGCATGGAACTCATAAGCAAGGGATTGTTAAAGCTTATAACTAATTTAAGTATTTGTATTCATCTAGCCGAGTTCACATAACTAAATCAATAACATTGAGGCTGAAATTTAATGTTCACAAAATAAATGATCAAAACAAATGGTGCTTTGAGAAACTTCAAACATGGAGTCATTTTAAAATGTGGGTAAGGACAGTATATACGAATTTAATATACATTTTACACAAGACAAGATCTTGTAGCAATTACCTAGATAAGCTACTGGTGTAGTAGTGAAATTCAAGCCACTGAATTCACCCAAACCGACCTAGTGGCCAATTCCCTGATAACTTTCTAGTATATTCACATATACAATTTGTTATATAATTTGAAAAAAACTTTTAACAGACCTTCAGTTAGTGAAAATGTTCCAAATATAATATGCTATACAGCTGCATGATTCCAATGATAGACTTATGAGTGTATATGTACAAACAGCATATTAGTGATTAAAACTTAATTCCGCAATACATTTTCCATAATGCACCCAGAATTGGAACAAGAACATGAGTTCTAATAATGATTTTAGTTTTCAGAACTGGCTTGAAATGCTACACAGTAGGGATGAACAGTTTGTCTATACAGCAGCAAGCTGCAGATTTCCTGTATTGTGACTGGTCAAACTACATCATCCAGGCCGCATCAACGGAACCTTTGGACCACTCACAATACGGAGGAGGTTGCCCCTTACATATTTTTAACTAATTAGTAAATTGTGCTTGTGGTCCAAGTCTAGAGAAAAAGCACAGCACATTCAACATCCAACTCAGCAACATACGCAGGGTGCGGGCTGGCACTCTGCCATGCTGATCCGTGCACTACAGCAGCAGCAGCCATAAAAGCTAATTTCCTTGAAGCTGTACTCTACAAGCAGGCCAGGAACAAACATGCAGCCAAACTCAAAACCATAAAGGCATTACCATAACGGGCTTTTCAGCCAGACATGATGTGTCTGATAAAAGCTGTAAAAATACCACAAGGTGAATGCAAACATCATCATGGGCAAAACAAATGTACAAATGAGACCAAACAACATCCATACAATTGCTGTAGTGCAATTGCTGGAGTTGACATGAAAAAGGGGACCTAAAAAATAATTGTCTCCATATAAAATGTCATCTACACATGGTCATGGCGAAATATATAAACCATGTTTAAAAAACCAAAGCATTTGCATGAGATCAAGAGCTTTATACATACGTAATGCCCTTCCCAATAAACTGTCCCCATGCAGTACAACCTGCTTATGTAGCTACTATAGATTTAAACCAACACCTGTGCTCAAAGCCACAATGTCATATATACAAGGAATACTTAAGCCTGTTCATTGGGGGCAATCAAATACTGCATCTATATTGCTCTATACTGGGATTGAATAAACACTGCCTGAATGTGTCTTTAGAATGCCTTTGCGATTGAGTCATTCAAGGGCCATTTTCTGGCAGCCATTACAAATGGTACATGCACACACCTGCCTCAAAGTGGCATCATACCTTACAGCATATAAACTCAATGTAAATTTTAAAAAGTTACCTCGTACTCAAGCAAATATTAATTCCTTATAATTTAATGAGACTATTAAACAAGACTTGCCATATTAAGCAACGATATATTTGGTTTGTGCATGCAGCTTAACAAAGATTTTATTTTAGTAGCTGATGTGCAATGTCGTCACATACTACAACTGATTGTTCAAGTGACCACTCGTGATCATCAACACAGAAGTGCTAAAAATCCACTTCTGATCAACAATACCTTTTTATGGAAATAAGCAACATGAAATAGCAGGGGTTTGTGAATGACTCTTTCCACCAAGTGTGTATTATATAAAGAATCCTTCGACACATCATTTAATGAAAAAAACCCTCTACAACCAGTTTAACTCATTCAGACAGACTGAAAAGCACACCCTGTACAAACTTTAATAAGTTGATGTTAAATTATTCCTTAGCTAACCTCTTATTGTACAAAATAATGCTCACACATTTAAAATGTTTTTCCTTGGGACACTGGCTTGAGATTGACTCTCCACTGAGAAAATCAATATGAAGTAAATGGAAATGTACGTCCACTGAAATTTGTTTTTGTACATAAAATGTTTGGACCAAATATTACAAAACAAGCTGCCAAGGCAATACATATTTACCATGAATAACCACTTTCAAACGGATATTTAAAGTGTTACACTGTATATTTACAACACAAGTTACACATTAACACTGGGCAAGAGGGCTAAGCTAAATACAGATTTTTTTTTAAACTTAAGACATGAATGTTGAGCATTAAATCAAAGAGCACAGATGGACACGGGTCATCCATCAGCCATGTTGATTGGTCGATGGTTGATGAATGGGAACGGCAGCCAAATGAGTGACGTACCGGTGAGGACAACTACCACGGGGAGTGCTGTGCAGCACAGCGACAGCGATTGTGGCGACGCAAGGCCACGGAGCGACGTCTCGGATGTGGGGAGAGGCCTTCATTCGATGGCTAAAACATGGCTGATGATGATGAAATATGAAGGCTTTTAAGAATGTAAGGAATGCAAGGTTTAAGACATTTTAAGGAAAAATCATGGTGTGTAATTTTCACACTGTTGTATTGCTACAACTGTGTATGAAATGCACATATTACAAATGTTACGTGCACTTGATTCAATTGTGCAATGTCATAAATTTACACAATCTGTGCACAATTCTCGTGGATGGCGCAATTAGAATTTCCAGGTCACAACAAATTAGATGGGTTTAAAGAACTGTATTGCAAAATGAAAACAGCTCCCCAGAGCATTTTAAAACACTCAGAGGACTTTTGTAGAAATTAAAATGTAATTAAAATGCAATTTTTTTCACAAACCATCCCTAAAACACAATGTACCCATAAAATATGAGATACTTGCAATTAGCATGACATACACTCAAAGTGTAAGCACTCGTCAGACTTTAGCAATGCATTTTCATTCAACTTCGTGGACACCCGTACAAGTAAAAGTGTATGTGAAATCAGTGTTTGTTTTAGAGGTAGCCAGGAGGCTCAGTTCTGGGCCAGTTCTGTGGAGACGCTGGGTCTGAATCAGGGCAGTCACCCACAATTCAACTGGTCTCTAAAATGGCCACCCACAATTCAACTGGTCTATAAAGTGCAGCAAGTTGATGACTGCACAACAAATAACCACCATTAAAATTGGTTTTGCATTTGATTTGGGTATATTCTGGCTTGAAAATGTGTTCAAATATCTAGTCCTATGTGACAATCTCACAGAGGAGATTATGAGAAAGTGCCCACCCTGATGAGTAAAAATTAAAACCAATTGAAGGTTTTTTTTCAGACTGAAAAAAAATCTCCTCTGCAAGCAGCTCCGATGTTTTATAAAATATTTACCATGCGCTGCTGCTACGAAGCACCAACTCTTACCTGAAGCAAAATCCATTGTGAGAATGAAACAAAGGCATTTTATTTTAAGCTTGTGAGCAAATTACCCTCATAGTTGATGCATCCGTTGTTATCTTCCTGCCCTACCAGGAGTAGCTCCACCTCATCCTCGGACATCTTCTCTCCTGCGAACACAAATCAACAGAGAGCAGTGATTAAATCTCTCACAAAGCCCTAACTCGATACATGGCCTTCTGTCAGCCACTTCACCACAGCCCGTGCTGAGCATGTTTAGTAAAACAAATATTTGTACGTATTATAATATAAAAGGACGCGACTTGTAAAAATATGAAACATATTCATGCCTGTCCTCATATGATACATTTAAAATTAGGTAACTGGATTATATTAATTCCTGTTATTGATTTATTGCCATTTTAAAAAGTCAAATCAATGACAATGCCTTTTATGAGCTGGGAGATGTGCAGCACGATTCACAAAAGTGGCAGTGTTTGACTTTATTGTGCCACCAAACTTCCACCCAGATGATTCACCGAAGACAAAGGTCATGTGTCTGATGAACATGACCGACTTCGTACCAAATGAAATCATAACAAGTAATCATCACACCACCAATACAAATGGCAATGAACCCTTCCGCTTAAGGACCACGCACTTTCAATGCGGTGCAGGGAACAGTACAATAGGGCGCACTGCACGAATGCACAATCTGTATGAGCAATAGGGTGCACGATTTAACTGGCTGAGAGCCGAGAGGCAAGTTTCATTGAGCGCACCAGACCTGCAACCACTTTTGACGAAAGCCGCCTCAGGCAATTATGCCACAAGCCCAATTTATTTCATTGAAACGGTTCTGCCACTACCATAAAAAATTCTATGGCATGAGGATTAAAAGCACCATGCCAATGATGGTCTAGCAGAGTGTACAAGCAGAGCTTTATGCCTACATTCGTTTTTGTAGGCCATTAACCTCAAAAATAACGAATTTTTTGTTAAATATTTGTAATGGTTCATAAAACTAGCATTTTCTCCTGAGAATCCTCATTAATAAAACCATTTATGCAGGCAACACAAAAATACATTCTAGGCAGTATAGGAAAATAAACAATTTACAAAACTATAAAAGGCTAAACGCATGCAAATCACTGCTTTAGGAAGGTGAAAATGTATTGAGTGTCACTATTTAATGGCTTGTGACAGTTAAGCAGAATGCATCTATGTCCAGATTCTACCCAAATTTCGACCAATTGTTCAACTGCTGACATACATTACACAAGATGATTACGAGTTTCAAAATTAAGTGTAAATGTGACACCTATAACTAACACATGAATACCATTGCACATTTTATTCTGGTAGCCTGTTACATGTTGTTTTTCTTGTACAAATATCTACTACACAAGGAATTTCCCCCGTGCATCCTGCAACAACATAGGTTCATCGTCGAGCTTTTAGAACCTTCTTACAAATGAGAATTGGAATCGAACCACTCTCCAAAACTGTGCACAGCCCTTACGGACACAGCACGTGTTCACCTCCATCACCATCACCACCATTCATCATCATGATACATACCGAGCGTGGTGAGAACGTGGCGGAGCTCAGCTCCCATCACTGTGCCGTTTCCCTCCTTGTCGAACACACGCAGGCCCTCCACAAAGTCCTCAAAGGTACCCTGGTCCTTGGACTTGGCGATGGTGCTGAGCATGGGTAGGAACTGCTCAAAGTCCAAGGTCTTTGTGCTCATTTCTACAGTGATAATAAACATGTGGAACGTACCATGGTAACACGAACATTATTACATCAACTTTTATTTATCCTTGATATACAATGGAATACCTCTTTAACTGCATTGGACAAGTTTTGACTTTAAACTTTCGTGACTGCAGGAATTCATATTCTATAGTTCTTTGGGTAAAGTCACGTAGATAGAAATAGTAATAAAAAAGTTATTAAAAATATCACGACATTTCGATCGCAACACAAGCAGTCGTCATCAGGAACAGGGAGGTTAGCCTCTGAAGGCAAGCTGCTTATCAAGGTTTAGAGATGGCCGGCAGTAGGTCCACACCAGCATTCCATCTCTAAACCTTTATAAACAGCTTGCCTTCAGAAGCCAACCTCCCTGTTCCTGATGACGACCGCTTGTGTTGCGATCGAAACGTCGTGATATTTGCAATTACTTTTTTTTATCTACGTGACTTTACCAAAAGAACCATAGAATATGCATTGGACAATATTTACAATTGAGATGTCACATTAAGGAATTTTCCAGGTGAAATTTTTAATTAATAAGTATATAATTTTAATGTTTGTTGGTTCCTGTTTGCAGTTATAAAATGTGTGGATGAGAGGCGATTCACCCTAACATCCAGATGACTCCTTTAATCTTCAATAGTATTTATGATAAAACAGGCTACATTTGTCATGCATCTAATCTTAACCATTAAAATGGTGCAGAGGTGAGACCATTTTCAGGCAAATTATATTAATGAAAGACATTGGTGTTGTGCTGCAACGTGGCCAGGAGATGGTAGCAAAGCAATTAGCCCAGGCCACAGAATGTATTGGGGGTCTGTAGACTGAACATGTGGGAATCGTTTAAGATTCTTTCTGGTAGAGCAGTTTCTTCCCACAGGTCAAAAGCTTTATAAATGGAAGTGGCCAAACGTCCCAATACAGCACATTTATAAAAAAGTGTATTGAGACTCAATGACGATTTTTTTAAATAAATGATTGGATCATCACGAACACCAGTCGCAAAAGCATTATGATCATCGGCAATAGCATAATGATTACACCACATCAACGATCGTCCTTAACAGCTGCACGATTGATAATGATGGGCACTTTCATTATCGTCACCTTCTCATCCATGGAAAAGCATCAATACAAGGATGCATGTAGTGCCTACTAGTGACCAATTGACTAATTATATGCGGTGACTCTTACAAAAAAGGCCCCACAAAAAAAAGGAATAACCTAGTGCCAGCTGGTTAACCGACTGCAATGGATAATGGGAAACAAAAACTGATTCTACAGAAAACAGCAGTTTTTCTAAATCAATTCGGACTCGTGATTACAGGATTGTTGATGAAGAGAGTTCCACTGCATACTTGAAAAAAATACTTCATCAGCCACTTCTGGAGCTGTGCTAGTCAAGGAACAGTGTTAGAGAAAAAGGTTACTGTACCAAGGATTTAGATGATGAAAAAGGTCTGCTAGGTGTTCGTGCTCCCCAGGAACTCTGCTAGCGTACCGTCTGGCTTGGGGTTTCCGAGCAGCTTCAGCACGTCCGCATTGGTGGGGTTCTGACCGAGGGCCCGGATGACTTCGCCACACTGGTTGTAGCCGATCCTCAGGTCGCCGGTCCGGTCAAACAAGGAGAACGCCTCCTTGAAGTCTAATCATATTGCAAAATACAAAATATTAATGTTTGGGTTAAAATAACAACACTATTTTATAGCATGGTTACAACAGCTCCTCATTATGATATACATTGTGTAATTAATATTATTTTAACTACTGCCTGAAAACAACATAGATGGTCTATTTAACCATAACATTTACCATCACATTGCTTTCCATCACCTTTTGGGCATATTGGGACCAATGTTTTCCAAAAAGATTTGCCATCAGCAGGGTGTGTGGTCTGTTAAAATACTGATGGGTTGCTTAGAATTCAAGGCAAGTCATCCACAGAGAATATTAATCATCTTTTTGGATTGCAAGAGAACCAGTGTAGAATGGAGGTCATGCACTTTGGTTTCAAAGGAGCACTGCAAAAACACAGCACCCTTCCTCACCTCCCCCCCGCTCCACTTACTCTCAGCTCTTGCTTCATCAGCTCTGGGATGCTATTTTATCAATACTCGGCCAGCACTTAACCTTTTTTGTCATCGTCTTCCTTCATTCCAATTTTTGCTGACCTGCTCACACATTGCCTGCTGTGTCCTTCAAGAGTCCTGTCATGTCCTTTATACATCATTACTCCATTTTTGTGTACCTCATGTAAACATGGAAATGTAGATACAACCCAATGTTCTCTTACAGTTATTAAAATCAGGTGTTATTATATCTGCATAATAAGCCAGATTTCATTCACACATTTTGACACAAAAGGAAACCATCTAACTACATACAAAATAGTATCTACATTCGCAAATTTTACTTTTGCGCAGATTTTCAAGAACCGAACCCTCGCAGATGTCGAGGCCTTACCGTATGTCTTGCACATTAGATCTTTAATGATACCATAACTTATAAAAATGTTAGTTTTTTTACGGTGAACAAATCCAAAGTTTGTCGATAGTGATCTGTGTTTGGTTATATAAATTTGAAGCAATATTCTACATTTAGGGTACAATTGAGAACAATTTGTGGTGAAACATATGAAACGCATTAAATATCTTAGAAACACATTTTTGGATTACAAAATAGAGGTTTATACAATTTAAAATACCCAATTCGTGACCAAACTTATGTCAGCAACTAATCACGTGGCTGTTTAATGCGATTATAACCCCTTAAAAAGCACATGCTTAAGTTGTTAAGACTGCCGAGTTGTGATAGGCTTTGAGTGTCGTAGTTTTTAGTCCAACACTATATTCATAGCAATTAAGTTAGCCACTGTTTAACTGTGGGTATATTTATCTGCCAACCTGTTTGTATCAAAATGTAATCACTGAAACTTCAATAATCACTTAAACAAAGCTTAACAATAATCCATACATATCCTGCACATTAACCGATAGCTCCCCGATGCTCTTCCTTTTGGATGTGTTCCCCAAGTTGGCTACGATTCCATCTTGACCACTGGCATAATTCCTTCGATTGAAGTATCTATCCTGCCCAAACCCACTTTTCTCAAGCCATTGTCTGAAGTTGTATTTATTCTCTGATCAATGTGTTTCTCTTTCCATCACTCAGCGTAATCCCAAGCTCCCCCCATGCTTCTTTGCGCATTTCTCATTCTATCTGTCGGTGTATCCTATCCATGTTAAAGCAGATATTTGGATGGATGTGTAACAATCAGATTCAAGAAAATAACAAAATTAAACAATTGCATGGTGACCAATACATTTCTGCAATATTTAAATACCTCAGTGTTAACTCGGCATGTCAAGTGAAATAAAGTAGGCCAAAATCGACTCAAAATTACTTGCGTATCTATGATGGCCAAGGTCTTCTCAGCAACGTTCATTTCACATGTCAATATAATCCCACCTCATTACACAAGGGTAGTATTTTATACTGAATATACTGTCTGGTATGAAATACTAGCAGAGATAATTAAAGCTCCACTTTATGTTCACAGTATGGCAAAAATACCAATTTTGTGCAAATCCAAAAAGCAGCTTACAAGTGAACTCGGTATGACTTAGTGTTTATTCCATAAAAGGATTCAAGTGTGGCTTTTTGAATTTCCATGACTGTAAACACCACCTCATGTTTCCCTAATGTGGATGCATCTATGATCCGTGTAGATTAATGTTTGTATCAGCTTGCACATAATTTTCAAGGTCATGGGGATTCTCATTTAATGGGCGAATGTCAGCTTGTATGATTAATGCTACATATAATAGAGCATACACTGCCCATGCAATATAATGGTTGTTTCTATACGACCACAAACACATGCCATGCAACCATTGGGCTGTAAGGAATTCCTATTGACAAACCTGATTAAGAGAAATTACCAGCCATAGTTCGCAGATATCAGCGCCTGTATATATGTATAAAAGTTTGGATGTAATTCATGTGTTGGTAGATGTTCCTCCTCAATTTGTGGCGAAAATGTGCCAATGTCTCCATTACTCACAATGGGATAAACTACCAACATGTGTTCTGGCTGTTTAATTGGTATATAAACCTGGCCATGTGTAGTTACTGGTGTTGTAGCTGTTTCCACACAATGCTGCTATCCAAGACACAGCTAATGTCAGTGGAAAGTAGTATTTGCACCCATCATTGGCCTTTCCTAGGTTTATTCAGCCGTAAGCAGTGCAGCGTGTAAACATGAGGGCTGGGGAGAGATGACAAAAGTGATCTTGTACACACCCAAACCCTGATGCATAGCAGAGATGGATGTCCTTGGAATGTGTGCGGGCTGAATAAGAGAGGAATTATACTTTTTGCTCATCATTTTCTTAGCCTTTTTAGGATTGTTGTATTTTCATTCTTAGTTGTGCAAGAAGGAAAGATGATCAAGAACAATGGCAGTCAAGGGATTGAACATGTCCTTGAGGACGTCAACCGAGGATAAGGAGCGATGCGATGAAATCCATCGTGTGTGCATGTGCTAGGTGGTATTATTCAATTTAAGAAGCCTCGTGAAGGACACTACTGGGCAGTTGGAGGCAGTCGCCCTCAAACAAAAACAGATGGTAGAGGAGGAACGCTCACAACAACGAGTAGAGCGCCAAGTGGCTAAAACACTGCAAGCTAGCACAGTGGTGCATCTACCAGTCATCTCAGTCAACTCATGGCACCTGGGTCCGTCCTCTGACCTCCTGCAGTGGGCGTTCGACGCTTCACGTGGCCTTAAAATGCACATAGCCTGGCACCAAGTGCCCTGGTGACGTCACCACCACTTTGTGGCGAAAAGCGGTGTTTATTGCTGTTTTGACATCGCAGGATGGCGATCGATGAAGGTGGCTTGGGGAGGACTACATCCAGCAACGGACTGGGCATGGATGACTTGTGTGTGCATGAGAGCTGAAGCGATGAAAATCCGAGAGGAAGCGACAAGCCCGAATCTCAAACGGAGGCCACTCCCCCATGACGCAGGCCCCACGCCAGGCGCGCCCCGAAGCGCGCTGCCACTGTGCCCATATAAGGAAGAAAGCAGAGGCCAAGCCACGTTCATTATCCCCGGTGTCAGCCCACTTTGAGCTGCGGGGAGGGGGAAAAAAGCACAACGCCAATTTTGGGCACTCCTTTCTCCCAGCGTCTTTTCGGACGATACGCAAGTTACCCAAATAAAGGGATGAGAAGAAACATTAAAGATTGATATATATGTATAAGCAAAGGCATTGTGTGGGAATGCGGAAGGGCTGACGTCATGGGGCTTATCTCGTTAAACATTCAACTGTATCGTAGTTCACAGCTCCCACACCCTGCACAGAAAGTTTGCTCAAGGCGGAATCTATATAGTGTATAAAAGCTGCAAGTAAACATTGGACATTAAAAACATGTTGCGGTAAACATGCGATGTAATTACATCTGTGATAACTCCAGCAAGGGATACTGTACTGCACTCAGATCCTAACGCGCGTTGTATTTCAGTTGTGATTCGATATATAATAGAACAGCTACGATGGATACACTTTATTAAAATGTCCATTAAGGGTAAGAGGACAACACAACACTACTTTGTTGTACGGTTCAAATAATAAAACACCCTCATTTGGAGAAGTTGTGGTGGTATGTTTGTGCAACGTCGGCACGCCCTTAAGGCAGGATGCACATTGTAAAAGCCTCCTCCTTACACTCAAGACACCTATAGTACATGTTTTTAGGCACTTAAACTGCATTAAACTGGCATTCCAAATAAGTGGTCTTGGGTTGAAACGCATGCCCATGTTATAGTAAATAAAATGAACGTTGATGGTTTTCAGTTCTCAATGTATATTAATATTGTATAGTACATTCAAAGTAACAAGATTAGAAATAAACCTTGTTCTAAAGCGGTTGATGCAAATAACGTGGCGTGTACAAAAAAAACATGTTTTTTAATGAGAATTAGTTGGCTGGAAACAAATGTTCCAGTTTGGTGTTCAATGTGTGTCTGTGCACACAATAACCGTGCGTGGCACGGCTGATTGACGGCCAGAGATGGCTATGCAACTCATAAACACCCCACTTGTAATTACCATACAGTATTTCACTAAACCTACCACTGTATTCATGCATGGGGTGCAATACCAAACATATCCTCGCACCCTGTGCCAACACAAACGATGAAACAAAGATTACCAGCCGAACTCTGAAGCATATTTGCTGTAATTGTTAAAGTTCAATGTGTGGGACTGAGATGGGGAGAGGCTATTGCTGCTGACAACGAGGCCCGAGTCAATGGTGACAAGATCTTAAATTGATTGTCAGAACGCCACCACTCTAGATTTGAACTAATGGCGAGACGTTACAGTCCACTCAACACGATACCCTTACACAATGAGAGTCCACATAACGACCATGAGACGTCACCTCCGATGCACACGGACATGAGTAAGACAAACACGAATGAGGTAAGATTTAATTACCCGCAATTTGGTCCTCGTTGAAGTCAGACTGTGGACACAAAACACAGAACAACCGCATTCCATTGTTACTCGGTCAAAGCTGGATAAAAACCCGACTCGAGACGCGTTGCAGAGAAGCACAAACCCAACAAAACAACAGTTTACAACAACAGCAGCAGCAGCACAACACGAGGGGCTCTTGAGAGCACAACCCACAGGCGTCTGCCAGCCACTGCGATGGGGCCGACAGCCCTCGCGAGGTGAGTCACATCGGGGAGCGGCCGGGCGGGGCGCGCCGAGTCGCACTCGGCTCACTCCCCGCGACACATCGCGCCATCATCAAGGACAAAGACGCCTACCCCTCACCCCCCTAGAGCCTGAACGTCGGGGCAAGTGCTGTCAGCGAGCACCTATGAAGGCCGACAAGGCACACGAAGGGGTGGGCTGGCCAGGACCACGCCCGGCGCCGATGGCGGTGTTTATACACACCGCACCAGGTACTCATTTGAGGCTGAGCCGACCTAGGGGCGGCCCATAACCAGTGTGGATAATCGCTATCACTGGTGTTGGTGTCCGTGAGCAGGAAACGAACTCGGGTCGGCGGGTTCGTTAGCGCAGCGCGCTCACCGCTCCCCTCTCATCACCACCACCAAAGATTCCCCGCAGAGCCTTCACAGACTGTTGGGGGCTGTTCGCGAGTAGCACCTCTGACCATTACCACCAGCACCACCGTAGTCGCATTCATTATACATCGTCTACATTGTGGAATGCGGTGAGGGTTGTGGTGATGCGAGCGGGACTCGCGACCTCTCACTCACCATGGTCCCTGCTGCTGCGGCTGCACTGAGCGGGACAGCGACCGCCTCGAGCCCACGCCCCGCGACGACAGCCGATTGGCCGAGCCCACGCCACGTGATCGCGAGCTGGGCGGAAATGGAATTCCCTCAGTTCCGCCCACCAACCATATCGCCCGCGCGATTGGTCAAGAGCGTCCCTCGTGATCAAGGGTGGGGGCGGGTCTCGTTGGATGGGAGGGCCGGGCCACACCCTCCACTCCCCACCCGCCAACCCCCCATACGCGGCCGCCGCTCATGCCGAGGCGCGATTGGCTAAGGCGACCACGTGGTTTGGGTGTGGCAATGTGGGTGACGTCGGCGTTCCTCTTGGTCAAACACCCGTGCCGACAGACGATTGGCTGAGCGCGCGCCGCTGGGTGACCCGCAGGACTATAAATAGGGGTGGGGGGGGGGGGTGTAAGCGAGTCACACTGCGATTTGATGAAAGCGTCTTAGTGTTGTTACGTTTAAGAATACTTGACAGAAGTAAGTATAAGTCACGACAAACAAGCAGACGTCTGAAGACGTCTCTTTAACATTGTTGGTGATGGTGGTGTTCCTTCTGGTTGTGGTGATATTTCGCATTGATGGCAAATCTAATGAGTCGAATGCCTTTTATGACCTGTTACAGGTGCTAGCTTAAGTTTCACTTCGGGGTGGAGTCCTCCAACCCCCACAAAACACAGAACAACCGCATGACATTGTTACTCGGCCAATCACCAACACGATGTTCTACCTACGTGACTTTACCGAAAGAACCAAAGAGTATGGATTCCTGCAGTCACGAAAGCTTCAAATCAAGATTGGAGTCATCCTGTAGGGTGACTGTCATGCCTCAGTGTGCCATGACGCAGCCACCTGAGCCAGAGTGATTGGAAGGCATGGGCCCAGATCAGCTCAATAATAACGGTAGGAGGCTGCTCGATTTCTGTGCAGGCCATGGACTTGTAGTCACCAACACGCTGTTCCGGCATAGGCGCGTCCACACAACATCATGGATGCGCGCCGAGTCCAAGCAAAAACATCTTATGGACTATATCGTGACGGAACCGAGGATGCGGTAGGTCCTGACACCAAGACCTACCGTGGAGCTGATCTGTCAATGATCATCAGCATGTCATCTGTAAATATGCCTGCCATTCTTCCACAGTGACCTCGTGTCGACTCTCTGATATTGTGAGAATTTCATCATCGCTTGCAGCTAGGATTGGCATCTTTCCACGTTCCCCTCCTGAAGCCAGGGAAAATGGGTGAAGCTCAGATCTTTGGCTCATGCAACTGCAATGACTGCTTTGGGTAAACAGTCCAGACTACAGACCTTCCCAGAGATGATGGAGATGAATGTGACAGGCCCACTCCGACTGTCTACAACATCCCACTTTGAAGAATGAGGCTTACCGCAGCCTTCACTCGGAGGTTCAGAGAGCTGTACAGTGCTGGAAGGATGAATGGTGGTCCTGGGTTGCTGAGGAAATGGAAATGCCTCGGTCGCTTACGATCACAAATCACTAATTCCATCAAAAGAGTTACTTGCAGAGCCACACCAATTACCATCCTTAAGGGGAGAATGGTGATACAATCTCTGACCTCCAGGAGGGGAGGGGAAATCCCTCAGCCCAGATAACATCGTGGAGCAAGGTGGGGATGGCCCTGCTGGGGCTGCCATGCATCAAATATGGGAGTAAGTAGCCACCCCACGTGAGTGGCTGGCTGATGTGCCATTTTTATTGAGGAAGTACGGAAAGCGATCCAGAGTCTGAGACCAGGAAAAGTGCGGTGCAGAGATGATCTCCCAAGCAAATGTATGAGGGAGGGTTGTGTTTGCAGAATGCCCTATATGACATAGACACAACTACCTGGATCACAGGGTGGGTTCCGCAGGTTGGGAAGGATTCCCTGGTGGCCCTCTTTAAGAAGGTTGGCCGTACTGATTGTAACAACCGCCGGGACATCTCCCTTCTCAATGTGCAATGGAAATGACCTGGCTGAACGAACACATAAGGTCGCACTCATTACACACAAAGTGCTTGCCACAAATGAACCATAATACCTTGATCACGTCAAGAAGCATAAATCATCACGCGAACTCCGGTCATCCTCACAGCGGCTTTGAGCTCGCCACAGAACAAAGACGGCCACTGCATCGCGCACTTCCAGGTGCGCTTCTGCGGCCGTCTGGAACGCTCTTCCGATATTAGGAAGACACTGGAGCTATACACTTTTAAGTAATCTAGATTGAAAACGAATTTCTTTCTAACCGTGCTTTTTGTGTATAGTTTGTCGTCCGTCCCCCCGCACCTCCGATTGGCACGGTTGGCTACGTACGGTGCGAAAGAACTTCAACACGCAGTAAAATACACACACGGGACGTGGGGGTCAGAGACCGCGCTGCCGCGGGGCCCCCTCCTGGAGCCGGTGCCGCGCGGTGCCGCCGCCAGGGGCCGCTCGAGGCGATCCGCGTGGGGCCGTGGGGACCAACGGGGCGCGCGCCACGCGGGGGCGCACTGGGAGTGCCGCGTTGTGGCGATTGGAGCATTGCTACGCTGCGCCAAGTTCAAAGCGCTGCGGTCCGCGGCTCCATCAAAGGAGGAGGATTAGCAAAAGGACACGAGCGCTAAACTCACGAAGCCCTATTCTTAGGTTTTTTTCGGTAAAGTCACGGAGGTAAAAAATTTAATTAATAAAGGTAAAATAAAATAAAAATCACGACGTTTCGGAGGCAACACAAGCTTCCGTCTTCAGGTGGAACCGTCACAGCCACGACAGCTGTATCAAGTAAATGAGAGACTACAAGAGCTACCACTCCGTATATATATGGTTGGAGAGGGGTAAGGGCCAAGTACGGCACACTTTTTATTATTAATATGGTAAGGTGAGGCTTGAGACTAAGCCCTCTCGCCGTGGCCAGCAGATCTCGACATTGGCATTTAACTCCTGGCCATATTGGCCATGCGTAACAATAGTACTGTATTCCTCAATACTTCATAAAAAATGCGTTTTTAGGCGTTTTTATAAAGATTGAGCGACTAGCACGAGGTTAATGGTCGGTGGTTGTGGTGGAGGAGGCTCGTGAAGGACGCTCCTGGTCAGTCAGAGGCAGTCGCCCTCCAACAACAACGACTGGCAGAGGAGCGACGCTCACATCAACGAGCGGAGCACCGCGTGGCTAAACAGCACAGCTGGTGCATCTGCCGGTCATCTTAGTCAACCCATGGCACCTGGGTCACTCCCATGACCTTCGGGCAGCGAGCCTTGGACACTTCACGTGGCCTCAAAGTGCACCTGGCCGTGGTCACGTCACCGTCACTTCGTGGCGACTGGCGGGTGTGGTGGTGGTGGTGGTTACTCATGGTGGTGGTGGTGTTCGCGGTTCCTGCGATATTGCTTGTGGTTGTGATCAATCGGTGGTTGCTGATAAATAAACGTTCCCAAAGACAAACGCGTGTTAAAGTTTGTAATTTTGTTCGAAAATGTATACATAGATGATATGTATTAGAATAGTGGAGTAACATGTAACCCTTTACAGCAAATACAAAAACGACAACAACGAACAATCGCCGATTTTGGGACACTTTTACGGACTCAAAAGTTGTTGAAAAATAAACACTTAGATTACATTAAAAGACACGGAATACAGTATATATCAGAAACCCCAATTGATGGGGGACTCGTGCAATGCCAGAAACATGCGTTTAGAGTATTTAGCTGCTACAAAAAAACAATAGCCACATGATAAGCCACTTCGTTGAGCTAAACTTTGTGGCCAGGTCGCTTCTGAAAAACAGCTACAAAGCTCTGTAGGCCTTACCTAGTAAAATAAAAACTATGTAGTTTAAATAGCGTGAGTTAGCATCACCACTACCTTTAGGTGGCGACCTCCGGTGACAAGAGCCGGGATCCCATCGCTGTCGGTATCACGTTTATGACGGTGCTAGAGCGAGGCTGTCAAAATACTTGCCAATGGCTTTGTGAATAGCAACTCACAACATCTCTATCCGAGTTTGGAAGGCACGCAACGGCTTGAGGTTAAGCTCAATGGACCGCCGCTGCTTCCGTTGAATTTGTGAAGTTGGCAGTGATTAGTATTGTGCCCCATGGTTCCCAATGCCCTCTATGGTTCGCCAGGTGTGCTCTGCGGTTTGGGGCCTCTGCAGTGGCATTGAATTGTTCCACTTGTGAAGGTGGGTGACCAGATTTGGCCATTCCTCGCGGTCCGGTGCTGCTACCATCAACCTCACTCGTGCAGTGAGCTGAAGTCATTACGCGCCATGGCCACGACCATGATAATTCCTCTCGGACGCGCTCTTCTCTCCATTGGCTGCCAATTGGTCACCAGTCTCGTCCACCTGCCTTCATCGCATATAGCGACGTGTGCCCAGGCCAATCAATATCCATCATTCACAACATAGCATTCACATCTTGGACACCTGTTGGTATCCATTATATGGTCGCAATGTCGCGCCATGGTGTTGTTTCCTCTTGCAAACACACTCATCGTTTGTCGAATACAATGTATTTTAAATATATTTTTTCGTCGCATTCAGAGTACATCAAAAAGAAGGCTAAACATGTATATGTTTATGCATATTAATGGATTTAAAGAAAATCCTAATACTGAGGGGCGTAATGGTCGTGTAAATTTTTTATTATTATTTTCGCTTGTTAACCGGGAAAAAAACCTAACCGAATCTTAACTCTTTATCAGGAGGGCCCTTCAAAGCTTTCCCAGTAGGGGGCGATGTTCCTCCAGTGTGCATTGCTAATTAAGTCGTTTTCTGGTAAATTTCAGCGTTTGAATCTTCGGCCAATCACCTTTAATCTTTACTGAGTTTCTATAAAGTGAGCGCTGATAAAGCATCTTGGAGAGATGCATTATTGGAATTAGAGTGAGAGACAAAAAGCATAACATGAATGATGCAATTTATGAAGGTTTTTTCTGGAATTTAAATTTAAGAAAAGTACATGGACTTGGGCAGGATTCAATGCTAGAAGGGTTGATGACAAAAGGTGAAGAGTAACGATTGAATTAAATCAGCTCGTGAGTAGGTGCTAGGTGGATCACGAGAGATTACAACTACTATG